GAGGCTGACATTTTTAACAGCATGAACCAGAGACTGGCAGAGGGAATGATCTAATGCATTTCTGACTTGTCAATCAAAGATCTCACCTCTGCTGTCTTGTAAACAGTTGGGGGCCACCTAACTACATTCATAACCAGGGGAGAGCCTGCCGCCAGCCAGGGGGTGCTGCAGCCACATGCTCTGGCTATTTGTCACCAAAATCATGGTTCCGCTTTAGAGGCGCCGTCAACAGCCCATGGGCAGATTTCACACGGCCCCTGGGACAGTGCGAGGTGGGGGACACAAAGCCATGCTTGGTCAAGGGCGGCCACATCTCCACACTGATGGAGTCTGCTGACTGGACACCCCATCTCTCTCCCAATTAGAGACAGAACTACACACACCAGAAAACACTGGCTCCAAAGCCAAACAATTTCTTTCAGATGCATTTCTCACAAACACGATTCCGAGCATGCACAGCCTGCCCACCCCAAGACTTTAGCTTTAACCTCCTGTATAACTGTAAACAATGTACTACTACTCACATTTACACCCTATTTCCCAGCAATAAAATGTCAACTTTTAAGGCAATAATGCCTGAAGAGGCCAAAGGAAATTCAGAGACAACTGTTTCTACAATTTACTGACAATGCCTTCTTAACAAATATTCCACTTGCTAACACAAAAACATAAACATTAGGAAAAAAATAGATGTAAAAATGATTTGGAAATTGAGTTCATCTCTGTCTCATGGGTACCGCAGGCTTCCATTACTACAGACCATTTGCATCCTTCCTACTCTCACCTCTCTCCAAAAGGGATCTCAGTCAAAAGACAGAAGCGGTGTACACCATGTCTGTGCTGCATCACCTCGAGTGTGCTCATCTTTACTTCAGTTTGCCTGGCACAGTCCACCCATGGTTTCCCCAACCAGGACAGAGCTTCCAGGCAAGACCGACAGGGGCAAAACCAAGCAGAAGGTAGTCCCCTCCATCTGACAAACCCTGGTGTGCCATCGTTTATGAGCAATACCTTCACATCAGGCAAAGCAAAATGTGAATTTCAGGTATTCCAAAGAGACACTTCTGTATTTGGCAACATGTGGCACTCTGCCACAAAAGCTCATCCTCCTCTTTGCCTACTAGAGCCTGCTACAGAGTTTCAGATCTGGCAAAATAAAGCCAACAAGACAACTTTGCTTTTTCACTGGTGCACAAAGAAGAAAAACCAGGATTTTTGTCCCAGAAAGTTTACAATCTAAACTGAAGCTGGTATTTGTGACGAGTGTCAATTAGGTAAAAAAGGAAAAGCTGGGCTGACCCTGATACATAACCTTTGGCAAGACTTTTAAATTGCTCCATAAGTCTCTTCATTTATACAATAGCTTACAGAAGTAAATTCAAGGAAATACTATGGTCTTCTGCAAACCTGGAAGGATTAATACAAAATCATTTCCTTGATATACCTGATGGGTGTAATTGTAAATCAGAATTTTCAAAGAACCATGACTAATAAAAGTAACATGAATAGAGCCTTGTGAGCATAGACGGAAAACATTTTAAAAGGGAAAGTAAATATCTTCAAATGCAAAATGCCATGAAAACAGACATTTGTTGGTAAATCTGGAAACTTCCAAAGCCTGGATTTCTAGGAAAAAGAATACAGTCTGCATTAATTTATTATTAAGAGAATCTACATGCAACCCAGTTTTCAGTAGCGTTGCAGAATAAGAGTACAGTAAAATTTGGCATCCAAGACACAAAATGGAACAGCTGGCCTTTTTCTCTTGCTAAAATACCCTCTTTGACCCCTTCCCACAGTGCCTTATAGAAGTTCATGTTCCAATTTGCTGCCATTTTCCACCATGATCTCTATGAAATTCAGTTACACAATAGACTATCAGTAGCAAAGCCCTTTGAGATAAAAGATGTTAAAAAGAAGTGTTTCTAGCTCCTTATTCCCCTATTCATGGGTTTAGCCTTAAAACCTTTCCCACTGTGGGAGGATTACTAAACAGAGCTGAGGAACCAGAAGATCCTGTTTTCACAGAAGCATCTCCAATTATAAAAACACACAAAGAAGGAAAATGAAGTTATCTGACATGTTTCCAGAATCATCTCTAAATCGACTACCTGCCAATGTTTCCCATGAGGAGTCAGCAGGGCTTTAACTGAGCTATTCAAAAAGAGCCTCTTTGCACATTTCTGCCTGAGCATCTGAAGGTAAGCATGTAAATAACTAGACAAATTCACTAGTGACTAAGTAGCCTTCCAGATGGCATCTTTTCTTTTGCCACAAGCAAAGAACATTGAAATGCTTCTCCAGTTACTACAAGCTTGCTACAGAAAAAAAGAAATAACTTAATATGACAAAATTTGCTGGGCTACAAGAAAGTCTTTAATGCTTTCCTGAAGATTCGATACCAAAACCACCATTAAAGAACGATGAAATATTGCAACATCACTGCTTCAAGCAGGCTCCAAACCACTCCCATGCAGACTTGTGCTCTGGGAAATGCAGAAACCATGCCTCATAGAGGCGAATTTTCTCCAAACCATACAAGTTAATGGAGAATTAAAGCCCAGTGAAAAAAAGTGGACTGAAATATAGATGACTCATTGCTGCAGAAGCTGCTACTGGCAACTTAGTTTCCCTCTCAAATGGCACTAAATATGTTCTTCAACACAGCACAGTGTTATAAAGAATACCACTACATCATTTTAGATGGCAGTGGGGCAGACTTCCCCAATTCCCACAATCACTAAATATGCATGGAAATGTCTCTCAAAATCTACAGGACTGCAAATGTCCAAGCCCCACTACTCTCTTAAAAAGGCAGTACAAGGTGAAGGAAGGGTTGTGCAGCTGATTCTTCTGACCCCAAATATCATTGCACTGCATTAGCAGAAAAGTTATTGTGTATCATTAGCAAGAACATCTTGAGCTAAAAGAGGCTAATTTCCCTTCCCCTTTGCAATATATGCTTATTCTGAGTAATCAAAAATAATTCAAGTAGAAAGAAAGGAGTCTCAGTTTGAGTTTATAAATTGCTTTCCATATATACTGCTAAGGTTCTCCAAAACCTGAGCTTAAAGGGATCTGAGATTTATTCAACAGCCAAAAGCCCCAAAATGAGGCCCATCCGATTTAGTCAAATTATGCAAATCAGGATTAGAAGTGGGAGTCTAAACTCTGCCTGTTGTCTCCAGAGTCCTCTTAGGCTAATAAAGAAGTCATCTTCCCCCTCCCCCATGGAAAGCTCTGCTAAAAGCCTGCTTCAGCAAAGGAGGCCTGGCAGGACACCTTCCAGAGTCCATCAGCGCTACTGCTGGGTCAGCAAAAAGAGTTGCAGCAAAATGACGCAAGACACTTAAGCCTCCCCTGAGACTGAGAGGATTATTTCCACAGTACTCTCCTAGCCCTGGGAGCAAGAAGTCAAATTCAAAATAATCTTCGCATGCTTTTAGAGACAGATAATGAAAATGATAATAAAATAACCAATATGACTGAAAATTTCAGAAGGATTCTAGTGTATTCATTATGTCTGGGCTTGCAAAATGCTGCTGAATAAAACTCTGCCACAGTGTAGGTCAGCAGCAGCATAATCCAGCAGCATAAAACTTGAAGTAAATGTTCATGCTACCCTGAGCTCCAGTAAACACACTCTCTACACAGATACTCCCAAGGTCCTTTAGTCTTGTCCTGGGTTCAGCAGTAGCAGTTATTTTTCTCCTTCTTCATAGCTGGTGCAGTGCTGTGTTTTTGACTTTCAGCCTGGGAACAGCACTGATAACACCAATGTTTTTAGTTGTTGCTCAGTAATGTTTACTCTGACCAAGGACTTTCTGAGTCTCATGCTCTGCCAGGGAGGAGGGGAAGCTGGGAGGAAGCAGAGACAGGACACCTGACCAAACTAGCCAAAGGGATATTCCATACCACAACACATCGTGCCCGGTATATGAACTGGTGGGGAGTTACATGGAACAGCTAGATCGCTGCATGGGTTGGGCTGGGTATTGGTCAGCAGATGGTGAGCAGTTATATTCTCTTCCCTTGTTATTTCCCTTATCATTATTATTATTGGTGATAGTTACTGGACTGCTCTTATCTCAACCTGTGGAAGTTACATTCTTTCCATTCTCCTCCCCATCCCTCTGGGGGCGGGGGAGTGAGCAAGTGGCTGCGTGGTTTTGAGTTAAACATGGGCTTAAACCACAAGAAGTCTCTGCAGTTCATACGTCTCAGAGTACCCAATATGAACATAACATCTCTGATGCCCAGTCTGTGATATTTATACCCATATGTCATCATAAATTGCTTGCAATCATCTTGAGAACTTTGCCTAGGTTTCTAAATGCCTACCTAATTGCTGCCTCACTCTGTACCCACAGGAGCGTGTCTGCATGCACTGGTCACCCAAAGCGCCTGAACAAACCTGTTTGGCAGAAAGCTGTCTCATGACAGAGAAAAGCTTGAACCTTACAAATTCAGAAACTAAAGCGAAAATACCCCATATTTCCTTTATTTTCTTTTTGAATGACAGCTTACTTGTACAACAATTTTCTGTAGTCAAAACGTCCAGACTACTGTTAGCAAACCTGAAGTAAACAAATGCTGGCATCAATTATCACTATGGCAATGAACCCACCCCCTCTGTCCTCTGAGTAGCATACAGAAAATTTAGATAGGAGGGGAATCACTGCATGAATAGCCAGATTGAAGACTGTGTGATGGAGACTGTTTGCCAAACATAATTAAGTGGTATATTTTTGACAGAATTGAAAGTCAATGGAAAAAGATGATGGCACCAAGCCAACTTAGACAAAATAATTATATCGAGGTAATGGAAATGCCCCAGCACTGAGCTGCCCTGAATCTACACAAGATGGGTTTAAATACCAGAGATCTGAATGACATTGGAGAGGCATACAGTATGAAGCAGAATAAATGGAGGTAAAGCAAGGAGATGCACACGTACACAGATGGTGAGAAAAGGAGGAGTAGGGAGAGACAGAAAGTACCTGGAAAGCTGGGAGTGCGCCAGTCCCTGGGTTATACAGGCATCGCAGCGAGGGCATGCTGTCCGCCAGGCTGGAGCAGCCCAGCCACAGAGATCTGGGCATAGAGCACTGCAGAGAAAGGACAACTATGAGATGGGACTGTATGAGACAGGATGGCACAGATTACAGGAACTTTTAAAGGCTTAGCCAAACGGCATCAACACAACTGCACCTGCCCTTAAAGACTGAGACATCTTTTAAGAGAATACAAACTGCTGATGAGTCTTTTCCTCGAGAGAAGCTTTACAGGTGTCATGGTAGCAAGAAAAAGGCATTATGGATCAAGAAAGTATTTTTTTTAACCAATTTTCTACACCACTATGTTCTTCCATAATGTTCAATGTTCTTCCATTAACAAAAGTTTCTTTCCAATTAATCAGACCTCTTCTCCATGCACAGCCATGCTCCGGGCATGACACAAAGCAAGCAGTTTTGCAAGGGAAGCAGAACAGGAAATGGCAACTTTAAGTGTAATACCGGCAGGGAAAGAAAAAGTTTGTGGTTTGTGTGTAAACAGAATAAAAGGAAAAACCTGCAGTCCAATGTGAATGGGAAATTGGTGACACTTTATAGGAGTTTCATGTTTCTGCTTGGCTTGTTATTTGTTAAATAAAATACAGTTATTACAATAAATCAATTCGGTTCCTCCAAACACAAATAAAGGAGCCAGAAGCAGCCAATCAAGGAAAATACTAGCCATTTTGATAGTTAAAGCCATTACCCCTGAAATACAACGAGTTGCCTGTTCATTTTACACCACTACTATTAAATTTAGGGATGCATTATGATAGCAATTGCTTTCACCAGCCACAGTTTTTGATGCCATAAGCACTGCTGCATTTCTCTAATTACTGGCAAGGCAGAAAAAAAAACGCAAGGATATTTTAAATTGGCAAATAGCTGTGAAAACTGTAGGATGAGATAAATTAGATGCTAGAGATTTCTAACCCTCATATTATTCTTTTTTGTAATTCCCTCCCTCCCCCCCCCCCTTTTTTTTTAAGGGAGGATGGAAAGAAATCTGAGCAGAATGAGCAGCTGGAATGGGGATGAAGTGACAGCTGCCTTTTGAGCCACCATTTCTTGCTGCTCTTACGAGGGCTAGAAAACCTTACACAATCTTGCACTAAATTAGTATGTAAGAGTAACATAACCCATCCTTGAATTAACAGAAAGGTGATCACTAACATCCATAATCTGGTACTGTGCAGAGAGCCACAGAGAGATTAACCCTGTCTATCACCACGTTCTTTGCTGTACTTTGTTACAATTCACACTGTTGTTCCATAAAGAATATTAAAAGATTGCCGGGGAACATAGTCTATACAAATGTTCTTATTAAAAGTTTCTGATACCTTGGAGTAAATTCCTCACCTAATTTTCATTAAAAAAAAACAAAAAAAAAAAAAAAGAAAACCCTCTTCACTTTATAAAGATATTGAATCTCAAGAGCTTCAGTATTTCACAGTATTATATCACATGAGCTTGTAGATAATGCCCCTTCTGAAGACAAAAATAAAATAGACAACAAGCAACAAGTATACCAAGCAACATAAATCTGAGCCTTTACTTCCTTGTCTGTCATCCTAACCTCCCAGAAAACAAACACTCCCACATAAAAAAAACTTCCAAATGCCAGCAATCTTTTCTTTCCAATGTAATTTGTGTCACTGCAGCAATTAGAAGCTGTTGTGACAGTCAGCCTTAAATATATATAAATATATATATATGTTAAGTGGACACCTACGATTAAACACTTCCCCAATTGGATAAATTTACTTAAATCAAAGTTATTACTTTCCAAGAACATCACAGTCACAAGGAAGATTAGCTACAATATGGTACTTCTCGTGGTGCAGAGCAAATTCACTAGGTAAGCACCAGCTGTTTACCACTACCCATCCTGAACTTTTAACTTAACACAAAATAAATATGGGATGACCTTTTTTTCCCCAACCAGACTTATCAAAGCTTTGCCACAATCATTTATTCCCTGTTGTCAAGCTTTCTCATCCCTTGTGCTGGCTCAAGTTTTCATGCTGTGATAATGAACTCAAAGAACTGATTGTCATTAAGTTTGATTGACAAGATAAAAGAAGTTACTTTAAATATTTGTACTGACCACAGAAAGATACAGAGGCAGAAGAATGGGGCCCACTCTCTCAGTGGAAAGACAAGTGTACGCTGCCTCAATGTTTATGTGAGATTATGGCACAAATCAGAGTCACTACAAGCTGCAGGTAGGGCACTGCATTGTGCTAGGGCATTTACAAGTTAATGCAATGTCTTCCTCTAAAATTGCCATGATAACAAAGGGAAACATAGGAAGTCTACCCTGCAGAACTCTCTGTACCTACAGAGGATATCATTACTCACCCAAGCACTCCCACTGCTTAGAATTATTCCAGAATTAGGAAGTATGCAGTAAAAAATTGCCAACACCTTAGATGACTTCTGAATCTGCTCCAGTATATAATAAATTTATACTACTGATACAGTTCTGTTACCTATCTTGAAAAATAAGTGTAAAGCTGCACACAGTGTAGGAGAAAATGTCATTCCTGTACTTGCCTTTTACCTATTGAAGGAAGCAGAGATGCTAAATTACTGTTGGTGACTGAAAGAGGCTTATTCAGAAGCATGAACAAAAGGCCCCAGGTGCTTCAATAGAAACAGCTTGTGTGTAAATCAGATGAGTGACCCAGCAGAACAACTTCATTTACAGCCTGATCTCTGAAAAATCTCAACAGCCTCTATCCCCATCCACTGAGCAAGCCTCGTGTCAAACACTCACTTTTGTCCTGTCAGCTCCACAAACAAGGGACTGGCCTCAATGTTCCTACTTGAAAGCTGACTGACAAAATCCTCCCCTGAACTCAAGTCAATCTACATTGATTCTTCAAAACAAAGATACAGAGGCACAGCATTTGGACTACAGCCAAGTGGGAATGCTGATACTGCTTGTTAAGTACTGGGCCAGGATGCAGCAGTCTCTCTACCTTCCTGGCTCCCCATTGCATTAACACTTCAGATGTCTCTGGGTCCTAAAGTTGTGCAGACAAAAGCTTTTCATTTATATAAGCTAAGCATCCTCAACATACATTGAATGGCATAAGATAGGAATTATTTGGAAAAAAAAAAAACAAAAAAAAACACAGTTTCTTTTCCCAACTGATTTTTAAGTCCCATTCTCTGATCTCTGAAATGTATTTTCCCATTAAAGAAACAGAGGAACACAGTTTCAAACAAGACCAGCATCCTCCTCCTGACAGAGGCCAGTACCAGCTGCTCCACTGATGATTAAAATGGTCTTGCCTTACTTTGAATTAAAATAGGCTAGAAGCATTCACTGCCTGAGCTGAGGGGGCAGTAACCACGAGCTGAAGAGAAACCGTATTTTAACCTATTCAATTATTCTTGTAACTATCTTGCAAGAACATTTTGACTACATCAGATGTTCTGCCTCTAATAGCCTACCCTCTCTTCCAATTATCTGATGTCCTAAAGACAAATCTCAATACACACTCAATGGCTAAATTTTTGCCAGTGCTAAAAATTGGTTATTTATTTTATTTGCTATTGCATTACAAGATTACACATCACCATTTGAGACTGGGTTGGGTTTTTTTGACTTCTATCAAATTTGTTCTCTTCTAGTCCTTCACCAAATACAATATACTAGGAGTAACTAACACAGTTTTAGTAAATTGTGTTACAGGTCAGAAATATATCACCTTGTCCTGTAAAACTAAGTGGCTCTACACGGAGAAAAAACAAAAGTCCTTAGACTACTACAATTTGCAACTATAGTGCACAGGTGTGAAAATACAAACTCACCTTAAAACAAGAGCAACAAAGGAAAAATCAAATAGTTTCAGGATATTTTCTTTATAAACACTTTTGAGAAATTAGACAGTAGTACAGAATGACTGTCTTTAACTGGGGTGCATTTTAACATAATGAATAATAATGTAATGAAACATAATGTAATAACCTGTTATCCCTGTCTGAACCCTACCCTCAACTGTATGATAACATGTATGCCTAAAACACCTTTGATTTACAGGCAACCTAATGTATTTTTGCACATCTTCACAAGCTAGTGGCAAAGCCAAAAAGGAAACCCATTTTTCTTAAAAGGGCTGTTTTTTGGCCAACTGTACATAATACTAATTTGGGCTTCTAACCACATCTATTTCAATCCTTTTCTACTTCAGAATTACTTCCCCTCCAGTACAGTGCCCAGTGCTTTATGCAGTTGAACTTTAAAAGTAAACCAATAACAATTTCTGCTACTCTTGGGAGATGGGAATTCAGATCCTGTTCACACAATATCTTCCTTAAGGAGCATAAACAGAATATGACACACATTGACAAGAGCTGAAGAGTTTAACAACTAAGAAAAATGAGGCTTCTTTTGGTCCAGCTGATCAGAAGCCAAGGAACTGGATAAGGTTTTAGAAATTAAAACAAAAACAAATTGTAACTGTTTACAGTTTGTAAGTAAAAAAAAAGTTTACAAATTTGTAATTGTTACAAAAAAAAACAGGATAAGAGGGAAAAAGAAGTGCTAGAAATTCTACCACCCAAACTGAAGCAGATAAAACATAAGGGATGCTCTGAAGAGTCTTAAAACTATATACACCAGATCTGAGCTTGATAAGAGACAGGTCTTTTCCCACCTCTTTTTTTCATCACTTCAGAAAGTGAATGTGGGATTGCTGGCAAGTAGAATTCTCCCTGAAAGTCTCTTTCACAGTACCATTTCCTGCATGCTCTCTAAAACCTAATTACCAGGAAATGTGCCTCGGGAATTTCGATCCTTTACTATATTTTAAACATATGCTCAGATGTTACTAGAATTCCTAATATTCACATTTATTTTTATATTATAACACAACAAATGGAAGAACAAACCTCAACACTTTTTAATACCGCTCAGCTCCTCTTAAGCTTTTATTCGGCCAGATATTTAACTAAGCCAATGCCCAAAATGTAACACACATCACTTTCACATTGTTTCCAGTGTGCACTATTCCTGTCACCACAGAATGCAGTACCTTGCATGA